TATTATTATTATTATTATTATTATTATTATTATTATTATTATTATTATTGGCTTCCTTTAAATTAATATATTTCTGTACTCTGCATTAAGCTAATTATCTTGAAAGGGGATGTCACAATGAGTAGCCAGGCATATATATATATATATATTTATATATATATATATATATTTATATGAAATGTCTTTTAAAATATATTTTAAAAGACATTTCATATAAATAAACAAATTATTAAGTCCTTTAAAATGTCACATATAGCACAGCTTTGTTACACACAAACCTGGTGCACAGTTAGATAGATACAACTTATCATACAGAATACACAGATAATAGGGAGGGAGAAGTAAAAGAAAAAGAAAAGGATATTAATTTAACAAAGAGGTAGTCATATCAACTCACCACCCCAGCTATCTCTTTGGAAATACACTATTTAGTGGTGGTGTCCCCCCATCTTCTGACACTCCATTTTCAAGTAAATTCTTTAGACAGAATGGAACTTTTAAGGCACAGTTAAGTGAAATTCTTTACTGGTACTGACATTAGAGGATGCTACATTGCTTGGAGAGCCAAAACCAACTGAGGTTAAGGAGGGGGGAAGCTTGGGGAGAAGAAAAAATGACCAGCAGGAGGTGCTGTGCCAGCAGAAGTAACAATAAGACTGACTTTCCCACCCTATTTTCTCCCCCTGGCCCCCAAAAATCTCTCAGGTGTTTGAGCCAAAAGTTCTCCTGAGGCAAAGCCAAATTATAAACGTAATAAAAAAATTATAAATGTAATAAAATGCATGCGCAAATTTAAAACCATTGATTCTAAGAGTCCAATTTTCCTACAAATGCACCACAAGCCAAGCACCCCAAAACCCCTATCCCAGCTCAAAGCCAGCCCTCCTAAGGTTCAGGCCAGCCAATACCTGATAGTTCATGATGGCTCGTAAACACAAGATGCACACGTGCACATCGTCTTTCTGGCTCACCAGCCGTGAGTTCTTCAGAGCTTTTCTGCTGGGAAGGGTGGTGTATCTGGCAAAGAGAAGAGAACCCTACATTTAGCAAGGAGCAGTAACCTCTCCAGAAAAATGCTGTCACTTGCCAAGGATGAGGTCACAGCCACAGCTAAGAAGGAACACCGAAATTAGAATCACCAGCTTCTGTCAAGAGATTTGCCCAAGATGTATGTTTTCCTTTGGAAACAGAAAAGTCTGGGTGGCCCCAATACCTTCCTAGCAATCTGATAGCAGCTGTTCTAAAGACAGAAGGCTCCTAGAATTGCCAGTCAGAAGGCATCCTCCAGCTATCCCCCCTTTTCCTATTTTATAGATCTTGGTAGACAGAGAGGTTTGGGGCATGAAGGAAATTATATAAATGGCAGGAAAAAAAAATATTTTTCCTGGGAAGCAACTTCAAACCATTCAAGGGATTTCCCCCATGTTTTATTTCATTATTATTAATTATTATTATCTATTATTATTTGTTTCTGTTAGAAAAAAAAATCCTTAAAAAGCCTCAAAAAGTTACTTTAGCAAAATGAAGGCATGTGTTGTTTTTTATCAGCCTAAATCAGGAAAACCCAAACCAAGACACTTAAGCAAATCAATTAAAATGGTTTTTTTTAAAAAACCAGCAGAGAAAATTAGATTTTTCTTGATGGAAAATAATCAAAAAAATTGGAAGAAAATAATATCTTCCACAAGGAATAGAGAAACTAGCTAGTTCCCAAAAGAGTGGCACGTAACCTAAACATCTGAGCGGCAGAGAGAAACTAGAGGTGAACGCTTCTCAGATGTCATCCCTAGAAAAGAATGTTCCGCTAAGAGAGGACATCTGCAGAAGTCATCATGATAAAGTTTATTTTTTCTCCTCAAATATTCAGTTCTATTCCTTTCCCTTCTTGTGATGATCCAAACTATAGCCTTGAATGAGATGCAGGAAGGCACTGGACTTTTCAGAGCTAATATGGTTATTATCCAATACAGCATTCTAATGCCTACCATATACTTTGAATTATGGTCCCACAATCCCTTGTTCATCATGCTGGTTGGGATAGATGAGAGTTGAAGACTAAAATTTTTGGACGGCATCTATTTCCATATCCTGCATATTATCATCATTGCAGCAACAGTTTACCAATTGACTTTCTCTCTGAAGGTACCAGTGCCATCACAGCAGATGGCTGTGCTTTTTAGCTGCCCCTTTGAGCAAGAATAAACTCCCTGAAGGCTCAATCTTTTAAAAGCAGCTGATTTTCTTTGGGCTTTTTTAGCCTGAGCAAGTTGGCTTTTCAGGCGCAGGTTAAACCTGTCTCTCAATCCATATGTGTCTCCTAAACCACCCACTTGCCTTCGAACCAAAAGCCATGGACTACAGGGACTCTTGTCCAGAGGTGGTATTCAGCAGGTTCTGACCAGTTCTGGAGAACCAGTAGTGGAAATTTTGAGTAGTTCAGAGAACCAGCAAATACAACCTCTGACTGACCCTGTCCCCATCTATTCTCTGTCCCCTGAGTCCCAGCTGATTGGTTGGGTCTTCTTTTGTTGCCCTGCACAGGAGAACAGAGCTGGAAAGCAGGTTAGTGGGGTGGGGAGGGAACGGGGATTTTACAGTATCCTTTCCCTGCCACACCCACCAAGCCATGCCCACAGAATTTGTAGTAAAAAAAATTTGAATCCCACCACAGCTCTTGTTCACATGCCCACATATATCTGCATACCTGTGATGTACATCACGGTATGCTGCGACATAGCACCCAATTCAAGAATACTTACCAGGATAATAAGGACAGGGGGGAAAAAGAGAGAGAACAGGAGACCCAGCAAAGACAGGCAAACAGAGCAGGGCAAAGGATAAGGCCTGGAGCAGAGAGGAGACCTGGCCAGCTACCCACAGAGGAACATCAAGGGGGAAGAGTGGGAATGAGAAGAAGAAATCAGCACACGGCATCCCCTGGAGGGCAGAAAGCAGGGCAGGTTTATTACTGTATGAGTAGCACCGCTGAACAGGATACGTACTGGAGGTTGCGTGGCAAGACAGAGGTACATACCGGAGAGCGGACTGGCGCGCAGAGCGAGCAAGGCTGTTGGCGTAGGGAGCAGACAGGGTGCTGGGGTGATGCAGATCCTCTATGGACCTGCTCCAAGATTTCAGCTTCTCTAGCGCTCCATCCTCGCTATTTTCCAGACCCTCAAAATCAAACCTGGAGGGCAGACAGGGAACATACACCATACACACAGGGAAGCTTTAGGGCAAAAGCCGGCACAAAGGGGTCAAAAGCTCTGGATTTCCCAAAAGGATGGATGTTTCTGCAAGCCACAAGTCAGCAACATGGAACATGACAAGGTGGGAATTTGATAGTCCTCTCTGTGGGTAAAATCTCAGCATACAGAAATCACTGCTGCACACAAAAATTCCCAGGGCAATTTTACAGTATGGTTACACCAGTACAGAAGCTACAGTATATTCCCCACCCTGTGGGTTGAATTTGTATTAAATACAGTCTTTTCTGGCATCACCTTGTACTATTTGACCTGCAGTTCAGTTGTCCTTCATAGACTATAGTGTTTGCATTACGATACGACTAAACGGCTCAATTTCAGGCATGTATCTTGGGAACAGCTGGTTCCATTTGTGCTGACTTCTGGATGGAGTTACTATTTTATAATAGATTTCTGGAGCAGATGAAGGAAGTTCCTTGTTAAAGGGGGAATAGTTTTCCCAATGGGATGCTTTTTCGTAAGTCATTTTTATGGTGTTCTTTAAATTTGTGAACAGTGTTAAGCTGATAGTGGCTCCTAGTCTCTTTAAAAGGTCAATTCAAAAAAAGGAACTTTGGAGTTCTAAACAACCTGGGATGAAGATATATGAAAAATCCTCTTGCCTCAGGCTATTTCTGAGTGTTAAGATCTACAAATCCTTTCTAGATTTCTATTTTTTTCAGTCACAGCATTCCTACTTTAGTGCATTCTCATAGAGCAGCTCTGGTAAATCCTTGTATTTTGATGTTCAATACCCCCCCTAAATCACATTTTTGTGGTACAATTCAAATCCAAATATAAGCTATTTTGCACAATGGTGTGTTCAATTAGAACTGCTCAATTCTTTTACGCTTCAAGAATGGAAGAGGTAAGAATGCAAGTTTCAGATACCTACATTTTTATGTTTTGGCTAGATCACTGATTTTAAAAATGAAGATACTGGACAATTGGAAGAAAAACAGTCAATCTCTGGGGGAAAAAAGATTTTTTTGGTTGTTTAGAATAATTCACTCCAAGATCGATCCCTGCTTCCTGAGAGTGGGATAATTTGAAAAAAGAAATGACATAAACTGCCAAGGCAGAAAGATCAAGATAAGAATTTATGAGGATAAGGAGACAACTTCAAGAAAATTCACCTTCCAGCCAGAACTAGTTTAGGATAGAAAATAGCATCTTTGCAGATTACCTCATCCCCCACCATTCCTGATAAAGAGATACACTACATGTATATACCTTGAGCTCCCTTGTCTGTTCAGCCCTTGGGACTTAACTAGCAAGGACATTTGGGCAAATTCAAGGTGGAAGTGTCCCAACAGAAGCAAGAACAGAGCCGGTTAGGTCTCTGGAGTGTTCCTCAAAACAATTGCCAGAAATTTTTTCCCCTCTTGTTTTGATATCCTTTGGTCTTTCTTTTCATGTTTCTGTTAGGATACCTAAATATTATTGCAAAATGGAATTCTATGGCCTTTCCAACTAATTCTTGAGGACTCTGGGGACCAATTTAGGCCATCTGTTGGAGGCTTCATGAACAGTGCGATCAAAGCAATATGCACTTTATTATTGTAACGGCACAACATCAACCCAACCCCCCTTTTAAACCATCTTTCTGATACTCTCTTGTCTCTCAACCAAGCAGCAGACAGCAGGGAAGAAAAGATTTACATAAGTTTTGAAATTAAGCCTCAGAGCCACATATCCTTCTATATCTTCAAGCTGCCATCCCCAGTCTATGACCTCCTGTATGGATCAAGCATTAATAGAACTTCAGATCTCCTTTTTTGAAGCAACAAAAAGAAAGGTAGACAATATCTTTCACTTGCTGCATTTTCAGTTTCAGTTCAGAAAAGTGGAACATGTTAATTATAATTTTATTAATAAACTAATGAAATGCTAGACAATTAGCCAACTCTCAAGTCTTTGTACCTGTCATTTTTATTTATGTTGTTAGTCTACCAAGACATACACGTCACACAGCCAGCAATTTTTTTTCACGGAAGTACCTCTAATGCAAACTACTATCTGCAAGTGCCAGTTAGGGAGACTTCCATAATGAGCAGAAAGCCTGGCATGGAAAATGCTGAAAGCAACATGTAAATTCTTCTCCGTCTGGGAATCTGAATGAGATTAAGGGTCCCACATATAAAACCAGGCTTCCAAAATATCACAATCCACTCAGTATGCAAACCTCATGATGTCTTCTTATAACTGGCACTGTTAAGAATGTATATGATACCAACATGAAATATCTACATAGGTAGGGGATATTGTGAAGAAGGAAGAAGAGCCAGGGCATCTTGACAATAACACAGTTACTTACATCACTGCGCATTGAGCAAATGAGAGGTAGTCCACCAGCACATCTAGGCCTTTGTTTTCATCGTTGAGAAATTCACGCACCCACCTGCAAAAATAAATAAAAATAAAAATTGACTCCAAAATATTATTACTCCAGATATTTTCTGATGTGACTTACTGACTGTTCAAAGTCAAACTGTGGCACTTTTGAAAGTCTATCTTTCCAACCACCTGTTCTCAACCTAATGGGATAACAATTTCCAGGATTTCCAGCTGACAGAGGATTGTCTCTTTATATTTTCAAATAGCGTTTAAAGGTTTTATTCATCTGTCCAGTTTTGAAGCCATCTGACTCCTGGACCACTCTGGGCAGCCCACAGATAAAGAAAAAAAATGCAACAATGACATGTAAGCATAGAGCTGCCCTAGATATTAACTTGGAATCTTTCAGTGGAGTCACATCCAAGCCTTTTCTTTCCTTGAATGTTGCCAGCTACCCAATATAATTTTCTCCTCTTTCTTTCTCCTCAGGGGTCTTCAGGTTCATAGGTTCACACTGCCATTTCATCCATTTGATTGTGGCAATTCAAATAATTGCAACTCTCAGGAATGAGAACCTGAGTTTATAAGCACACTGAAAATTGTAATATTTTGGCTAAAACTGATCTCATCCTCTTCCTCCTTGTCGGTTTTTCTGTTTCTATATTTTATAACCACTGTTTATGCTTGATTATGCCTAATCTTTCTATATTTTATAACCACTGTTTATGCTTGATTATGCCTAATCTTATTTTAAATTTAAAGATTTCAGGGATGGATTTTGCCTAAAAAGACAAGGCATTAATTAATTAATTATAAATTAGACCAGCATTCCCCAACCTTTCCAGACTGGGGGGTGGGGAGATGGGATGGTTCTGTATGAGCAGCGGGCAAGTGTGTACATGTGCACAACTCCATTTGTGCGAGTGGTGAGCATACGCACTGGCCGCTCGCATAAATGAAGCGTGTGAACATGCGTTTGCCCGCTGCTTGTACAGGTGCATGCTTGCCCACCGCTTCAGGCAGCCCACTTCTGAACAGCTCGAGGCCCCTGAATTAGAAGGATAGTTTGGGGATACAGAATCTTGCACAAATATCACATTCACTGCCTCCTATAAAGTGCTGAATTAGTACTTAAAGCACGGTTTCCAAAACCATGAGGTATATTGCCCTCAGAGAGGTGTTACAGATTGAGTTCAAGGGAGGGAAGAAGAACCTTTTAGTTGTACGTTGTTATAGTACAATAAATCCACATTTCCCATTATATTGTTTTCATTGTTCATTTAGGCTTTTGGATTTTTAGGGGAGGCATGAATATTAAGATTACACTAAAGGGAAGTATGATGTCAAAACGTTTAGGAACCCCTAATTTAGATACATGAAAACTCATATGAATGACAACAGTCTGGGAGGGCAGCCTGTTCAATGAAGCCCAACTTGAAGATTCATGGAATTATAACTGGAATTGTGCATGGAAAGCAAAGATGCTCCAATGGGAGGATGTCCCTTCCCAATGGGAAATTCCCTCTCAAAGACTACAGTCAAGTGAAGGCCTATCTCCAGCCTAGACATCAGACATCAACAATTCTCAAATAACCATTCAAGCTCAGCTTATTTTTAGGACTATGTCCAGTCTGGAGTTTTGGACTGATGTATATAAACTGGACAGAGTTCAGAGAAGACAGAAGAACGTGATAAATGTAGAAGGAAATCAGCCACTATGGCCCACCCAATGTGTGTTCAGGGAGATTGCAGTAGCCTCTCGTTGTTGTAAACAAAATATTGTAACTAGTACAACTTTATCTTTCCATAGCAGGGAAGGGAGTGTTTGCTTAGGTTCCAAGACATGTGCTGGAGATCCCACACCTTCCTGTAGTCTTTGATGCAAGGAGGGAAAGTGGCACGAGAAACAAATCTGACAAATCTGTAGGCAAAGAATCAAACTGTACTTGTTGGGTAGCATCAAACGAAGCTGTGAATGTGTGTGACTTTGTACATGGAGATGTGCCAACCCAGGAACAAGTACTGTGCATCATAAGAGAGAGAATGCCTGCAGCTAGTGGTTTCAGTATGTGCTGTTATTTCCTGAAGCAGCTTTGGCTGACTGCAATTTTGACCATTAATCATCCAGACCCTGAAATGGTGCCTATAGTCAGTCAGTCAGAGTCCCTCTCTCCCTCTCCCCCACCCTCTCCCTTCCTCCTTCCCTCCCTCCCTCTCTCTCTGTCTCTCTCCACCCGCCCATTTCCTGCCTGTCTGAACTTCAGCCTCCAACCCCAGTGTGTTTCCTGTCTGATTTCAGTGGCTGCAACTACTAATTTAGAGTCTTCAATGCATTTGTTGAAGGCTAAAGGATGTGGAGGAAGGAGCAAAGGCTCTCTAAGGCAAATCCCATCCTGTAGTCAGGTAAGGAAGAGGAATTACGAGTGGTTGTGTTTTTTTAAAGTGTGTGCTTATATAGAGGCTTCTTTACAAATGCATCTGCTGCTGTGCCTATTTAACCACAGCTGATTGGCAAAGCACATGTTTTATATATATATGGGTGTCTCAAGGATTTACGCTAAACATTTCTCAGTCTCTGACCTGGAGCGCCATTGTCAATTGCAGCAAATACCAGACTAGATCCACCATGCCTTTGACAGTGCACAGTCGTTTTATGCCTTTGTTGGAAGGAATAAATCTTCAAGAGCATGTGAGAGACAAGGCACAGATGTGAGCAAGTACCTTCATGCACCGGTATTCATTTATGTACGTGGCGCAAACTGGGCTTAGGAAAGCCCCACAGACTGCTTTTAATCAGGAAAATCAATAATAACAACATTTCAGCCCCATCTGTATTAAGAGCAGAGAAACAGGGAAATGAGATGCAGTTGCCTATAGGGAAAATATATTGTTTCTCCAGAGGTTCAAACAAGAAGGGAGGGAGGGAGGGAGGGAGGGAGGGTGGGAGGGAGGGAGGAAGGAAGGAAGGAAGGAAGGAAGGAAGGAAGGAAGGAAGGAAGGAAGGAAGGAAGGAAGGAAGGAAGGAAGGCTTGAGAAAGTTTGGGGAGATCCTTGCTGGGTTACATTATGGCATCTCTTTTCTCCTCTAAAATTATTTATTTGTTTGTTTGTTTATTCATTCATTTATTTGTTTGTTGAACAAAAATTATAAATTCAAACAAACAAACAAAAAACCCCTAACCTCCGACAGGGACAATAGGCACATTAGTGCATTTACACATGCCTCCTCTAGGAACCTCTTAAATATGGAATGAAGTCCACAGAAGTTATTAGAATTAAAACTCTAAATATTAGTAGCTGAGACAACTGAATTAGGTAAGCTATTTCAGACTTCGACAACTCTGTTACAAAAGTCTATTTTTTAAAAAATCTGAATAGACAAGCCTGATGTTTACAGGAAAGCAAAAGAAAGCTTTAGAAAGATAGAGGAAATTTTATCAAGGACATGTAGTTTATTTGTAGCACTTGAAGATTGCCTACAAGAAGAAGATTACCCTCCAAGATTGCATACATGAGCAAGGATTGTCTTTTGTCCTTGCATGCTTCCTTCTCCCCCAGAGAATGAGAATCTGTTTCCCCTACACCCAAACCTCTCTCCCATCTCAATCATATCCTTTTAAAGTCTCTGCCAAAAATTCTGCTGTGTCCAAGTCAGGGATACGCTCCAAATTATACTCTTATCATGGTTGTTCCTTTTTTAAAAAAACAATCAAAGCTAAGCATTCTACACCAAATTATTCCTGATTCCACTTCCAGAAATGTTGAGTTCTGTGGCTAATTGCCTATTGCAAATATATGCTTTTGGTAATTACTGGCAGTGGCAAAAAGTACAGTAATAGCTGGGAATGATGGAAATTGTAGTCAACAATATCATGATGGCACAACCAGAGGTGGTATTCAGCAGGTTCTGACCAGTTCTGGAGAACCAGTAGCAGAAATTTTGAGTAGTTTGGAGAACCAGCAAATACCACCTCTGACTGGCCCCACCCTTATCTATTCTCTGCCTCCCAAGTCCCAGCTAATCAGATGGGTCCTGCTTTATTGCCCTGCACAGGAGAACGGAGCTGAAAAGCAGATTAGTGGGGTGGGGAAGGAATGGGATTTTCCAGTAATCTTCCCCTGCCACACCCACCAAGCCACACCCACCCATAGTAAAAAAATTTGAATCCCACCACTGATGGCATGGCATTTGTTCTACATTGGTAATCCTCACTGACAACTTCACCACCGCAATGAAATCAGGTTTTCATTGACATACACGTTCAATTCTATTTTTGTAGACTAAGACCAGAAAATGTTGGGAAATTATTATGGGTGGATTCCAATTTAGTTTGTACCCAGTTCATTCCAAGTTACTTCCTTTACCGAGATGTGAGAAAGTACCCCTATCATTCAGCTCAATCAGCAGATTATATAAACATATAAAAAGCTCAGCAAATATCAAAATAGGTACCTGGCCAGGGAAAAGAGAGAGATGAACCACAGGCAAGAATTCCTATTATCTATACATCTATCTGTATCTACCAAAAGCCAACTTTCAAAACTACTAGAAACTGCACTGTAGGTGCAGCATGGACAATGGACAATCCCAAAGGGAATGATCTTTGGCTATTCCAGGCTTAACTCTCTTATGTAATAAGAACATGAAATTAGAGATGGAAAGAAGACACTGAATAATCCCTCCTTTATTCTGCATCATAAAGGAAGCAACTGGTAGGTGGGAAGGAAATATCCAACAGAAAAACTGAAGCTTATTGACTGTTGTTCTGCTCAGCCAACATAAATTTCTGAGTTTTGCCTTGCAGAAGAGATGCTAGCCCAGTTATTCATGTCTTCTCATTATAATGTTTAGTTCTTAGTATAACAGTTGTCCCATAAATAGCTTACATGACTCACTATTATGAAGCAGAAAAAAATTACCTGTATTGATTTTCAGTAAAATCTGCACATATAATTTTTTCTCATTCTTTTTAAGGTAACCAAAGCATGAAATATTGTTCCAAGAAATAATTATATAACACTTTGCCATTTTTCATGCCACATAGAAAAAAACAATTATATTTGTCATCACAATAGAACATGGATCTTCAGTGTTGCTAATAATAATAACTGAAAGCTGACATTTATAATATCTTTCCCAATTGCTGAAATAATTCATATCTACTATGAGAATAGAGGAAAGACTGCTTGCTTCAAGGTGGCTTGGTAAACTCTTAAAAAAATCACTTTACATTTTCAGCAGTCTCGATACATTCTTTCACCTTGACCAGCGCTATGACTAGCCGAAGGAAGAGAATACCATTTGGTGCCAGGAAATTATTTGTTAATAACATTATGGTGCTTTGGGAGAGAAAACTGTGCTGTTTTTCCAGGTGGCTGGGAGAAAAAAACACTCTGATAAATAATAGCACACCTAGCTATCCAGGACAAACAGTTCTAGTAGAAGAATTCAAACCAGATTTTCAAATGGTCTGATTGACACAACACTTTCAATTTTCAGTGTTCTTATTATAGACTGCACGGCAAATTTTCCATCCCATTAAATACAATTCGTAGCTTTTAAATAGAATTGGTATGCTGCTTAAAGAGGCAGATGGAGTGAAGTAAAGGGATTAAAGTCCTGGTTTAAGATCAGAAAATTCCAAATTCACCTTCCCATTTTGTCTGAATGACTTTGGGCAGGTTATTTTCTTTCAGGCCCAATTCTATCTTTCAGAGTTGAGCTGAGGATAACATGGCTGAATCATACCTCTAGTAGTTTCTAGGCCATGAAAAAGGATGTGCTTATTTTTCAGGAGCTTCTAATTTTCTTTTTCCCTCACATACACACACACACACACACACACACAATCTATATAACTGGATTTCCCGATTTTAGTCCTTTGCATCCACAATTCACTGTCTACTGTAATTCAGCTTATGGGGTGGGGTGGGGAATGTCCTTAATTCTGAACTCTATGCTCTGAAGAACAGCTAAGTATTGCGTTAGTGAAGAATTCTGGATTAGAAAGACTGAATATTTTTTTTCTGACACTGTATCACTATGTTTCTCTTTAGAAAGTCATATGTGTGCCTTATTCCACCATATGTAAAATATTTTATTGTGCCTCACGCTCCTGGTGTTTGGCCTTTTCTCGTCCCTTTCAAATTCCTGAATCTCATACCTCATGTTATTGTTTGTTCAGACCTCACCAAAGGATACTGCTGACTAAGCATCACCCTTGGTGTCAGTTCCAGCCGACCTGAGGAATTCCCACCCAACCAGGCCCAGAAGCCAAGGACAGGAACAGTTCAGCTTCCTGCTCTTGTTGGTGTTTCTCTTCCAGCTGGAATCATGACAGGTGGGAGATAGGAACACATTTCTCAATTCTTCCAGGCTTCCAAATCTTTTAGATATGATACAAATCCCTTTGCTAGGATTTCTAGGGGGTAGAAATCTAGATGTGAAATTTAGGGAGTAAGGAAGGCAAGGGATTAAATGTTTTCTTGTACAAAACCTTTGAGTGGGAAATGGCTCCTATCTTAAATCCAATTTCTTGTCAGACTGAAGGGCTGCATAGAAAGAGTTCAAGTCAGAAAAGACCCAGATCAATTTTCTTCCTTTGACCAATCACCTTCTGGCCAGGTTCTCACAACATGCTAAACCCTAAACTAAAATTAACATAACAGAATTGTTGTGTTCACATAGAATGTTATGCCTACTCCACACAAATAATCCTTTTTATAGCTTAATGCAAATTCACACAATATATTTATCAGAAATGCTGGTCCATAATCTTTATAGTTTAATCAGATACTATGTGCAAAACCCACAACTATATGATCCCTGGATAGACCTCTGTATTATAGTTTTGGTTTGACTACTAAGGATCAACCATTTACTGCTATTCTGTATTGGTTTAAAGGCCAGCCTGACTATATAAAAATGGTGTGAATCACAGCATGAATTCATGCAATCCAGCAGCCAGAGAGAAAACACTCCAGCCCTGTGAGAGAACAAACACCATCAAATTCAATATCTGTTCAAGTGGCACTTTCTAAGACTTCAACATGACACATGCTACAATTGTTCAACAACTTGTTTAACAATAACTTACCCAATGTGATTGGTCCTTAAAGAGATCTCCAGCTCCCTCAGCACTTTGGTGGATTCCTGCACCCTCCGACGGAACTTCTGTAAGCATAAATAACTCCTTGTTCTAACAGTATACAGCACAATCATTTTTTTACACAAATGAACCAAGATGCAGGGACAGGATTGTCCATCAGGTTAAGTGTACTGACATTTCCTTTTCTATCACTCTTCATATCCTTCAACTTCCTTTTTGTTCATAAAAATAATAACTTTACCATTAGTTATAGATAATCATCAACAAGGTGGGTATTTCCATAGGTCCGAAGGACCTGGGCTTAATTCAATGGTCACTGTATCTTTTTTGCTGAGTACAAATAAAATATCTCTCCTGTAAAGCAAGGCTTGAACTGCAGAGGTCCAGAGATAGTTTTGAGGAGTATGAAGACTGTGTGTAGAAGTGACCATAGAATCCACTTTGTGCGTTCAGCACTGCCACATTGCTGCCTGCCCAGTGAATTAGTACATAGATCACCAAAAATTGTGGGACTGTAGAGTATATTATTTTTCACAATTTACAATTCACAATTTATTTTTTCACAAAATAATTTCACAATTATTTTTCACAATTACAACTGTGGTAGCTTCCACTCCAATGACTTATCCTAGGGGTATCAAACTCAGGTCGTCATGGCAGCATCATGTGACATATTGGGACTTTCCCCCCCTTTGTTAAACCAGGCATGGGTGTGGCCAACTCATGACGCATCCGGCCCGATGGCTGGGAGTTTGACAGCCCTGACTTATCTCTTACACAGGTAATCCTTAACTTACAACCACAATTGGGATCAGAATTTCCATGGCTAAGCAAGGTGGTTGTTAAATAAGTCACCCTTGATTTTAAGGCCTTTTTTGCCACAGTTGTTAAATGAATCAGTGCAGTTGTTAAATGAATCAGGCAGTCATTAAGCTAATCTATTTCTCCCCCATTGATTTAGCTAACTGGAAGTTGGCTAGCAAGATCACAAACGGTGATCACATGACCTTGAGACATTGCATATAGTTCTCAAAGGGTCGCCACCAGGGGTGGGATTCAAATTTTCTAACAACTGGTTCTGTGGGCATGGCGTAGTTGGTGGGCATGGCTTGGTGGTCATGTTATTGGCTGGGCGTGGCCAACTCAACATCACTCACATCGAGGCACGCATCTCCTCACCTGGCCTCTCATGACTGTGGGGATGCTGCAACAGTCGTAAGTGTGAAAAATGGTCATAAGTCAGTTTTGTCAGTGCCATTGAATGGTCACTCCACACAAGCAAAGTACCAGCAAAGGAGGGGGGAAAAACTCCAGAGAAGTTCCTGGGACAGGAAGTCTAGTCCTGCCAAGAACGTAATAAGGGTTAACAGAGAGGCAGTTTCTGTAAGTAACACCAGAATGTTTCCTTCCTGTCTTCCTTACAGGATTAGGCCAGTAATTTCTTCTAACAACCGGTTCTCCGAACTGCTTCGAATGTTAACAACTGGTTCTAGCGAATAGGTGCGAACTGGCAGAATCCCACCCTGGGTCGCCACTTACAATATACACTACATAAACATGATGAAAAAAATTATGCATATACCCACATATATGACACAGGGAAACCATGCAATCTAGTATACATCCCAAAAACGGATCTTGCGAGTTTACAAGATGGATTAAAGGAGTCTTTAAGGCTTACCTTTCGGGTAACACCTGGATCGAGGAAGCTCTTCAATTTCTGTATATATGTATGGGGTGGATTTTTCACTTGAAACCTTTCCTGTTGGGTAGTGAAAAAGAAATGGAGGAAAGAGATAGAGGGAATTATTGTGTATGCAAGAAATATTTGAGAGCACTAGAAAGCTACATTGTGGATTTATTAATTCTACAACTCTCCCCTCAGCATAAAAAGGAGCCGTCACTTGCATTGAAAGCATGCCAACCAGGGACTGAATTTAGGTACCTACTAATCCAAATAGCAGATGCTTCTTTATGTCTGCTTCCCTAATAAATGTGAAAGGAAAGCCATTTTCATTTTGTGCTCCACACAGATACTTTCTGCTCTGGCTCCTCAACAGCCCTGTTCTTGTGTTCACATGTTAGAAAAGTCCCTATAACTTCAGGATTGTAAGACTAAGCACAATTGCTCTGTTGAAGAGTTTTACTTCTAAGTGCACAGGAATATAGGATCAGGTTATAAATAATCCAACTGAAAACCATTTTCTTAGCAAAGTGCCTGCCTACTCACAGACCTGCAAAAAGAATATTCTGAATCCATGAACATTGTTTCAAATAAATTGATGGAGTTTGGGCATTTAAGCTGTGACTCCTACTGCAAGATCAAATGCCTTTTTGTATGAGATTGGTGATTGTAATTAATGTCCTATATTTGGCTTTGATCAAATATAGTATCAGTCTGATCCAGCAGCCTCCTCTAATTTTATGCAGTGTCCATTTACATGCATATGTTTGGGTGCAGCAGTTTTTTACAGGATTTGGTTTCCTCCCCAGATGGTTTCTCCTGGTAGTTCATCTCATAAAAAGCAATTTTCCTTTAAAATAACCCAAACATCTCAGGGACTTTGTGCCCCTGTACTGCTCTTGAAAAAAGTTTCTGGGCTGAAGCACACAATCACTTTTCTTGGCCAAACTCCCCCAGTTTGAGAGCAGCACCGATGAGCTGCAATTGTTTTACACTTAAATCCTGAATTATTCCAGGTTTGATACAGCCTTCAGCAAAAGGCCCTCTAATTAGCCATGATCTATATTGGCACCATCCTGTTTATTTGGCAGTTGGGTCCAAGAAAATGCTAAGATAAATCATTGTAGGTTTTTGTTGTTGTTGTTGTTGTTTGGTTTAGTTGGGGCTTTTTTTAGGGAAATAGGGGAAGAATTAGCAATGAAATTTGTCTGGGCTCAAACAGTATTTTAGGGATACTCCATGAAAAGGTCAGGCCTCTTGCACATTTTAAGTGTTGTTCTCTACATTAGTGTTCTTTAAACATTTTTCTGGGAACCCCCTCCCAGTTTTAAATATAGTAAATATAATAAATATTTATTGAGATTTACCAAATTAAACACTGACATTGATACAGTCACTACACCTCTCGCAATCATTTGAGGGGACTTTACTATTGGTATATTCCATTTCTCATAACATAAGCTGGCAAATAATTTGATTTGCAGGCCCTTGAGAAGGTCTTGGAAGGACTTTCAGGATCCTTAGACTACACTTTGAAAAACTCTGCTCTAAAGAATATCAAATTGACCAAAAATGTCCAGAAAATAAAAAGCACCAAAGCATTTCTTTTCATTTGCATTTGCAAAGCATTGCATTTCAGTTTGTAACCGAGCTTTACCTAGATCAAATGTAGAAATTTCCCATTACTTACAGGGATAACAGGGACTATTCCTAGATGCCAAAGACTTCATGTACAAAAGAGCCTTCAGATAAGGAGGTGCTGTCTGCTCTTTTAAAGGAAATCAAAGCCCTTAGATCAAGGGGACCCCATGTTATTTCTGGCAATAGTCCTCTTGACTGAGTCACAAGCTGATGTACCCTGACATGTTATGTCTCTTTCATGTTGGCAGTCTCTCTCTCTCTCTCTCCCTCCCCCTCTCCATTTTAGCTCCTACAGCCCTCTTACCTGGTCACAGATTAGATCCCATTTCTTCTCATTGTCATATTGCCTCAGAAGACGGGCCTTGTCGGGAGGGAGATTCATAGAGCTCTGTGGAAAGAAGCAGAGGGACAGGTAGTGGAGAGGCACATACCAGACTGCCTTCTGCATCCTGCAATGCATCTTCAGAACTGGGTGCGTGGTAGAATATGCATTATATTGTTTATATTCTGCAATGGCTGCTGGGCAGAAGGCAGGGTTTGTTTTATTATTATTTGTACCCTTCCTTTATTTAATTTTTCAGAATAACTCAAGGTGATCAACATATCCAACATACCGTCCTCCTCCTATTTTCCCCACAACAATAACCCTGTAAGGTAGGTTGAGTTGAGAGTCAATGACTAGCCTAAAGTCACCCAGTCATGGTCAAGGTGTGACTTGAACTCATCACCTCCTGCCCTCCAGCCTGGTGCCCCAACCACTAGACCAAACTGGCTCTTTTTTAAAAAAATATCATTCATTCATTTTCATTCATTCATTCATTCAAACCATTTTTATAACTTGTATCAAATTCTGGATGGCTCTCAGGCAACAATTAAAGCAACTTCAATAATAAAACAAAATAATGCATATATCTATTAAAACCAACAACATTAAAAACCTAGCACCAAAATTAAGCTTCCACATGCATATCTCATAAAATCCTCTCAACCACTTCACTCTATCCCAGTACTTGGGAGGGGGAGCCTGATTTTAAGTGCTTTTTGGAAGGCTAAAGAGGGCAGAGGCCTGCCAAACTGCAAGAAGGGCATTCCATAGGGGCAAGAACTACCATAGAAACAGGCATGGTTCCTAGATCCTATAAGATGTCAATGTTTAAGAGAAGGTACTAGGAGCACATGGGTTGGCAAACTTTCAGGACCCATGAGGACTGGATAGCAGAAGAATGTACTGGCTTGTCGAGAGTCCAGAATTTAATCAAAACCACAGAGCATCCAGGACACTGAAGCTAATAGCCTTCAGCATCTTTGTGCAAGGACCAGCCTTTTGTTACAAGGTACAATTTTTATGGTGCCATCCTGAGCATCTCCATTAGGAAGCAAAGCACACTGTGTTTTGTGGGATGTCCCGGGTGGACTGCAGGTAGGGCTGTAGTTCAAACATTTCATTTTGTGCAATTTGGGGGAAAGGGTATGTTTAAACACTTGTAAAACTTGGGACAAACCTGTCTCCACCCTCCCCCTCAAAATTAATTTCTCTTGTATGTCCCTAACCAATTTTTTTCTGAGCCTTGCTCCTACCCTCCAACAAAGGGAGATTCGAACAGAATAGATTAGAATAGAATAGAATAGAATAGAACAGAACACTATTGGCCAAGTGTGATTCGACATATAAGGAATTTGTCTTGGTGCAAATGCTCTCTGTACATAAAAGGATACATTCGTCAAGAGTCAAGAATCATAAGGTACAACACTTAATGATAGTCATAGGGTACAATAAGCAATCAAATCATACTAGGAAATGGTCAATAATCCCTGGGGGAGGGTTTTGGTAGGAGAGGCAGCTTGGTTAAGGGACTGTTTTCCCAGGCAGCTTTGCTAGTTCTCTTTTTTATTTATTTACATTTATTTATCACTGCTCTAGCTCATTCCATTGGTGAACAATTCTGAATATATACTTATCTAACATCCATAAATCTGTAAATTTCTCAGCATCTGATGATGAATTCTTTATTATCCTCATGAGGTTTCCATAAACAAATTATGTCCTCTTGAATTTCTGTTTTAAAATCTGCATTTTTACCCTAAGACTGTTTATGTTTTGGATATCTTTTATTATTGTTTAGCTATTGAATTTAAATGCCACCCATTTCACTCCACAAAGCAACCCTTATATGTTTATGAACTTTTTTTTAATGACAGTCAGTGTAATATTGTGTTGAAAGCACTGGACTCCGACTAAAGAAACTTGAACCCAACCATGGAGTTCACGGGATTATTTTAGGCCAATCTTTCTCGGTTTCAGTCCAACCAACTTCACAGCATTGTAAAAGGGATAAAATTAGGGAAGGCCTCATGTAAATTACCTTGAGCCCTGCCTGTGAAAAAAAAGTGGGATACAAATGCAATAAAAATAGAGTTGGACTTGTGTATTTTGTATTTGTATTATTTTATTAAGTATTTATTATAAATTGCCTGAAAAACATTGTGTTATTGAGTTGCAAAACAAACATCTATAAATTGGCCTGTGAAAAGAATGACTGACATTCAAATACTCTAAACAAATGAATATTTTGTCTTCCACTTCCTTTCTCCTGTTTTTTCTGATTGAGAAACATGGTTCCAAGTTTGGTATATCTGTTTTGTTTGTCAGTGATAACTCAAGTGTTCCAGTTCTACCATCCGGACAGATCATCCCAATTTTACTAGAGTGATCTGACCAGCCCATGGCAATTCAAACTGTGGAATGAAAGAATAGTACACGTCAAAATTAGATCACTTCCAATAAAATCAGACATTCCATGATAGCAATGGACGGATGGTTAAAATAGGCAATGCTGAGATTATAACAGGTGGAGTTGCTGGGCTAGGTGATAGAAAATTTTGACCTTGGATGAGATAGGCTCAGAACCAGGTTGGGGAAGCCTGGCTCTCATTTTTCTTTCTCTTTAAGAATGATATCTGCATCAAAGAACAATCTTATGGAAAGAAAATTCTATTCTATTCTTCTTATTCTCATTCCTATCCAATCCTATCCCAATTCCTATACAATCCTATTCCTATCCTAGTCCATATTTATCTCTGATCTCAGTATATGGAATAGATATGATAGCTTTAGGGCTTAGCAAGAAATAATAACTCAAATGATAAAGTGAAATGAAATTGCCTTACTGTAAAGTATTCTGAATCACACCACTGGTTCACCTATCCATTAATTTGTGCTTTGACTAGAAACACTTCTTCCCATCTTGAAAGCTTCAAGTAAGGTTTTCTCTTAACAATCTGAAATAATTATACATTAACTTAGGGCTGCTGTGGATCCAACATGTGCCTTTATTATCCAGGTTGGTTTGTTTACATTATGGTAGGAAGTGAGCTGAAGGTAGCTTGAAAAGAGAAGAAAGTTTCTTACATCTGCACTTTTTCTATTCTTGTACTTTTTAGTTGGCTCTACAACACAGTAAAACAAAACTAGCATACCTACATACAGTACAAGAAGAAGCTAATCATCTCTCAAACCATGTGTACCTTTTAAAAATTACAACATGTCACAGTCAAATCCCAAAAAGGAGCCTCTAGTGTTATGGATATACTCAGGGGTGGGATTCAAATTTTTTAACAACCGGTTCTGTGGGCGTGGCTTAGTTGGTGGGCGTGGCTTGGTGGTCATGTTATTGGCTGGGCGTGGCCAACTCAATATCACTCACATTGGGGCACGCATCTCCTCGCCTGGCCTCTCATGACTGTGGGGATGCTGCAACAGTTGTAAGTGTGAAAAATGGTTATAAGTCATTTTTTCAGTGCCACTGTAACTTTGAATGGGCACTCCACACAAGCTAAGTACCAGCAAAGGAGGGGAAAAAAAACTCCAGAGAAGTTCCTGAGACAGGAAGTCTAGTCCTGCCAAGAACGTAATAAGGTTTAAGAGGAAGTTTCTGTAAGCAACACCAGAATGTTTCCTTCCTGTCTTCCTTACAGGATTAGGCCAGTAATTTCTTCTAACAACCGGTTCTCCGAACTGCTTAGAATGTTAACAACCGGTTCTAGCGAATAGGTGTGAACCTGTAGAATCCCACCCTTGGATATACTGTCCAAATAGGCATGAAAAACGTCTTATGTGCTGTCAATGCTTCTGGCTCTAGTTTTCCCCAGATCTTAAAAGCTGCTAGACTTAAAACTGATTTCTTCATGCTCAAAATAAGACCTAGAAGCTTTCCTCCAAAGGTTTCTAACTGGTGACATATACTACATCAAAATCATCTGTTTCTAAAATTAGGGCGAGTTGAATTTTTTTTCCGGTTCCTTGCCTCATTCAGTGGTAGGAATTTCCAGTGTCTAAATCTGCGTCTCTGTGTAAGTTGCATGTAAGCCTTCAAGTCTCTTTGATTCTTGCAAACTACAAGATCAAGTCCATGAAACTTTTTAGGTAACATTTTCAGAAATGGTTTATTTTCACCTCCCTCCAAGGATTAAAATGACTGGCTCAGTTACCTAGTTGGCTACTACTGTATATAGACGCAGAACTAAAACTTAGGCCTTTCCACTCCAAGGTCAGCGCTTTAACCACTATGCCAAATTGGCTTTTTTACATGGATATTTAGATAGTTTTTGACTTACAACAGTTTGCTTAGTGACCATGCGAAGTTACAGTGGTACAGAAAAAAAATGACATGACTGTTTTTTTAACCCTTACAACTGTTGAGGCACTTCCCTGGTCGCATGATCAAAATTCAGATGCTTGGCAACTGATTCATATTTATGACGATTATATAGTGTCCCGTGGTCCTGTGATCACCTTTTGTGACTATCTGACAAGCCAAGTCAATGGGGAAACCAGATTCACTTAACAACCGTGTTACTAATTTATCAATTGCGGTGATTCACTTAACAAATGTGGCAAGGAAGGTCATAAAAAGGAGCAAAATTCACTTGACAAATGTCTCACTTAGCAACAGAAATTTTGGGCTCAATCATGGTCGTAAGTCAAGGACAACCTATATTATACATCCCAAGTTCTCACTGATCCAGGGTTTTACAAGTTTTGCAAGAGGTTCAGGCATGCTTAATACTATACAGCTGCACAGGAATTATCCCAAGCTACATATTTCCCCTCTCACGTTCAGCCACATTTGTTTCCTCCCACCTTCTGCAGTAAATAAGTAGAGAAAGTAGAACATAATGCCTTTAGCCAACAATGTCTGCCAGAAGGAGCCTCTTTTATTTTTCCTAGGCAAGGAAGCATTTGCTTTCAGGAAATGACCCCCCCACCCCAAAGAAAAAGATCCTAAAAATAAAATCAAACATGACTCATTGCATGTGGTGGTCAGGCTATGATACACTCAGCAGTTGACACAGTTCCAGAGTTTCATACTGACAATACAAGAA